CAAAATGTCTCCTTTTACCTCATTTCTTTAAGGATAAAGCTTGATTGTTCACCAGGAAGTTCATAGAGCACAGAAACCAAAGTCTTGGATATCATTAGAATTCTTTTAGTCAACACTAGAGGGATATATCTCCACATAAGAAAATTGGGGTTCTTCTAAGATGGGATCTTGAAGGATGAGGAAGAGGCAGTGGGAAGGTAGATGTATATACCATGTTACAAATATGCTACGATGAATCTCACTATTCTGTATGATTAATATATACTAATATAAACAAATTAAAAAATGGAGTCTTCAAGAATTCAGAATAGTGTTGGGATACAAGAGAAAGGGGTGAGAGACAGCTAGGTTGTCAAAAATAATTATAAATGTATTCTATAGGTTATTTATCCTAGGATAGATGGAATTAATTTGTGGATTCATTTTTTTTTTGGTGGTGCTAGGAATTGAACCCAGGATCTCATGCCTGCTAGGCAAGCATTTTATCACTGAACTACTTTCTTCAGCCCTAATTTATGGAAATCTTTTGCTGAAGTAGTAAAAATGAAAACAACAGTTAAGCCTCAGGAGACCCATCAGGAGACTCTATAATACTAGAGCACAATTATTTGATTATGTTTCTGTTTTCCTTGCCAGAGAGCAAGCACCTTGAAATGGAAGTTGTGTCATATTTTTTCAAAACAATTTTTGAATGCATTTAAGTGATTCATGAGTATAATTTCTTTTTACAAAAATAAAAAAAATTAGTAGGTTGAAATCTTTTGTAAACCTGCTCTGTTACCTCCTTTCCATTATGGGGACACACAAATATAGTTCAAATTATGCTGCTTGACCTGCATTGTAGGGATCCAATGTAGAAATAGGGCTCATCAGGCATGCAGGCTTTAAGCTTTTACTCTGATGCACAAATGATTTAGGTGAGTTATAGTCAGGGAGATTTCCTCTCTACCATCCCAACCTGGCCATGCACCCTCTCTCTATATTAATGGCTGCAATTGTACAAGAATCCTTTGGCTTATGACTGGTTGCCAAGATGTGCTAGACAGCAGAGTTGGTGTAAACTTCTACCTTCCCCAGGACAGTTTCACTGCTCTCAGAGTTGTACTGTACTTTCGTGGATTAAATCTGATCTTGCTGGGGCTGTTCTTCAGGTCTATTGATGTTCCTTGAAAGTGGAGACAAGACTATCAAATTCTACCAAAATGATTCCTCTTCCAAAAAGAGAGGGTGGGGGAAAGATGAGAATGTGTTATTATTAGGTACCATACAAACAGATGGTGTAAATTAGAACGGATGGTGGGACAAGGATGGAGAAGTCAGATGTAGACTAAGTTAGATGATATTGACCCTTCTAGGTCCATTGGTTTCTGGGATTTATCAAGAAGATGTGGTGAAAAAAGCACACTCATACATTGCTGGTGGGACTGCAAATTGGTGTAACCACTATGGAAAGCAGTATGGAGATTCCTCAGAATACTGGGAATTGAACCACCATTTGACCCATTTATCCCACTCCTTGGTTTATACCCAAAGGACTTAAAATCAGCATATTATAGTGATGCAGCCATATCAATGTTTATAGCAGCTCAATTCACAATAGCTAGATTATGGAACCAATGTAGTTGTCCCTCAATAGATAAATGGATTAATAAAATGTGGTATATATACTCAATGGAATATTACTTAGCTTTAAAGAAGGGTGAAATTATGGCATTTTCCAGTAAATGGTTGGAGTTGGGGAATATCCTGCTAAGTGAAATAAGCCAATCCCACAAAACTAAAGGCAAAATGTTTTCTCTAATATGTGGATGCTAATTCACAATAAGGCGGGAGGGCACTAAAGAAGAATAGTGTAACCTTAGATTAGGTAGAGGGAAATGATGGGAGGGGTGTGGAGAGGATGTGGGGATAGGAAAGATAGTAGAATGAAACAGACATTAGTACTGTATGTATATATGTGACTATATGACCAATATGATTCTGCAACATGTAAACTCAAAAAATGAAATTATATCCCCTCTGTATATGATATATCAAGTGTATAAATGCATTCTACTGTCATGTATAACTAATTAAACCAAATAAAAAAAAAAGAAGAGTCAGTCAAACCAATGACTGTCTGGGTCCTACTGGAAAGCAAAGTAAGGAGGGAGGGTGAAAAGTGAAAAAACTAAAGAGGGCCACTCGACCCTTTTGCAGAAGGACTCTGAACAAGACACTTCCTCACTCTGTTTCTTTAGGTGTATACCCCTACAGTGAATGTACACTGTCACCCCATGGTACAGCATGTCTGAGTCATTCTTTTGAAGACCCAGAGACCATTCATGAATGGGGATCTGACCTACAGAGGGCCTTTTTTCTGGGTTTTCTGTTTTGTCACCAACTTTCTGGCAAATTCTTTCAATCACTGAATGCCTGTTTGTCTCACTAGGTTTTTTTTTTTTAACATTCTTGTCTGGGGCACATGCAGTAAGTGTAGCAAAATGTAAGATTCTTTTTCTTTGGTCTTAATAAAAGGCCCCAAGGGAAAAAACCTAAGTAGCTTGGGTTAATCATTAAACATGCCCTATGGTCAGTTCTGAATTTTCACTCTGGCTCACGTTTGGCCAGGATACAAAGGAGTTAGGTAAGTTACAGTCCAACAGGAGTGAGCTACCTGCATGGCAACTGCAGACTGGACTCTCACCAGCTCTCACAGTTTTCAGTTCTTGGCAGAGAGAAACAAGATCATTTGGAAAAGAAAGATAAGTTCTCCCTTAAGTCATGACAGAAACAGAAAAGGTACTGTTTGATTTAGAAAAATCTCTGCTCTCTGTTTTCTAGGTATTGCATCTCTTGCTAATGTGGTGAGCCAAAGGAAACGAGGAGGGAAGGTCTAGAGTAAGAGCCTGGTAGCTTTGTCTTTGGAGGTCCTAGAGAAAGGGAAGCTGAGAGAGGAAGAAAGGAGGAGGAGGGGAAGGGCAGAAGAGAAAAGAGAGTCAAAAAGAGAGGACTTGGCTAAACTCACACGGCTCTCCTTTGTGGATAGAAACTTTCTAGTTAAAAGATACAAAGGGAGATTAAGTTTAGTCTTAGGAAGAATTGGTTATATTTATCATTGATATTATTACTGTATTTTAGAGGAAAAGAGATATCTCTGAACATAAAGTTTAAAAAAAACCTAGTGTTTAAAAGGTTATCTCCATTGTTCTAAGCTTGGGAGTAAACACTAAAATGAAATGTTAAAATAATGCAGCCAGATGGAAAGCAGACTCCTCAGTACTGAGTTTTTGTATTGGGTGTAATAAGCAAGTTCGATCCTGTGCTTCTGGACTAAGTAGCAAATATTCCTGAGGACTAATCTCCATGCAGTAGATGTATTTCTGCAAACTGAATGTTTGTAAATTAAATTCTATTCCAAGTGTATTTTAAAATGTAAGGAAGTCTGTGTCTTAAAGGAACACTTGGAAAATCCACTTGGAAATTTAAGAACTCCTTTCAGAAATGCAGGTAGTCTCTATCTGTACGCCATTTGCTAATGATGAGGGCAGGTACACAAACTTTATCAGTTTTCTTAGCTCCTAGTACAGTGCCCACCATCTAGTGGGCATACGATAAACCTTTACAGTATTAAGTTAAATATAAGTAATTTTATATTTTGGGCTGTTTTAATCGGGACATACCTGGATGACAAGTTTACTGCAACTTTGTTGCTGATATTCTTTTTCTGAGATTGTATTGGGACTCATGTTTTCTGAAATGGTAGAATTACTTCTGCTACTCTCAGTGCTTCCTTAAAAATCTAAATTAAATGAATATTTAGAAGTATATGTGTGTATTTAGTGTTTTATTTATTTAGTTTTGAATTTTCAGAAGACCTCAGAGACACTGTCTTCAAGAGGATTTTGTCATTCTCCCTGACTGGGTGCTGGAGAGCAGCTAAGCACCCTTTGTAGGGAAGGCTCTGGGTGTTCCCTAAGGCATAAGGGGGTTCAGCCAGGTTTCTATGGATTCTGCCCATCCCACATGGATGTGAAAGCCATTTCTCTCAGATTAGGTAAAACCATATTTAGGGTATTTGAACATGCATCCATCAATTAGAATTTAGTAGGCTTTGTGTGGGATCTTTACACTAAGGGGTTTGTGGAAACAGGAGACTAGTCCTGGTCTCTCCAAAGAAGAGTCTGTTACTGTCTAGAAGACAAGGCCCCTGTGGGGTACAACATTGACTGGCTCAGGTTCACAGGACATGAGCTAGAGGCTTGAGGGGAAGGTCAAGGAGACCTAAGGTGGGCCCTGAGCTGGGCCAGGATCTCATACAGCCATGGAGAAGAATTGGGAATCCAGAAAGGCACAAGTAGCAGCCAAGGCAGAGGCTAATGTGTGGAAGTCTTATCTGAGTGGTAAGAGAACAGCACAGCTACAGTGCAGAGAGTCATGTAAGACAGAAACGGGAAGGTTGGAAGAGGCAAAACAAAGTCAACCCCTCCATGAAAAAATTTATTTCTAAAATTCACCTTTTGATTAATAATGAACTAATGAAAGATATTATTATTCACCCAGTTTAAACATGCATGAAATTAGCTAGTGAAACAAGAGAGGCTGAGTGGTGATCATTTTCTCTAAGATTCTTAGATGATTCCTTTCTCCTGAGCTTGGAAAGATGGTCCCTTTGAAGACACTAGGGCCATATTTATCTCACCTCTTAAACAATTTCTTGCTTCAACACAGCAAAGTGATAGTATATAAGCAAAAATGATAACCAGATTTTTTAAATAACAGATTTAAAAAATCTGTTTTTAGTTGTTGATGGACCTTTATTGTATTTATTTATGTGTAATGCTGAGAATTGAACTCAGTGCCTCAGACATGCTAGGCAAATGCTCTACTGCTGAGCTACAACCTCAGCCCCCCAAATGATAGTCATTTTAAAAATGTTTTTATATAGCTATGCTGCTCCAATCAAAACTGAAAATGCTTTTAACGCCTGAGCAATCTTAAGATGATTGACTTCAGTGGACATGATGGCTGGCTGGCTGCTCTCTGTGATGAGTATTGAAGTACTACTTTTGGCAGGTGAGTAGAATGTAATTGAATGGATTATAGATTAGAACTCATTAGGTAGCCTTGGTAATTATTAATAATAAAAGATTATTTTGATTGTGCATCATAAATATATTTATTTTTTACTTTCCAATTGAAGACAAATTAAAAGTATTATTTTGGAAGGAGGTGTTGAAGGATCTGCTTCTGGGTTTAAATTTTTGTTGAATAATTTTTTTCTGATTTATATCTGAGGTTATATACTAAATTGTTACAAACTTTTAATGGCCAGTTCAATAATAAATTATAACCTTCCTTTTGTAACTCCTTTTAGAGCTACATGATGTAATTCTTTTTAGATTTTTCTGCTCCACCTTCCCTAATGGAGTAACTTTTGTTGTCTTAGTGATTGATGACTGCTTATGTTAAAATCTCCTTTTCTAAATCATGTCTCCGACTTTCTCTGTGAATTTGGTCATCCATGGTCTGATTTGGCTGGGGCTGCCATGATGGTTATGCTGATCTAATGGCTCCCCACTATCCTCAGGTGTTCAGTGTGTTACCTGCATGACTGATGGTACATGGAAGGCCTGTGCCAGCCACAGGTAGCATGGCTTAGATTATTTTTTTAATATTTCTGACATGGAAATGAAAACATGTTCTACAGATAACAGTTTCCTGCCTCTTTACCTCATTGAGGAGCTGAATGATTTTTGTTGGTTTCCTTGAAGTGCCTTTACCTGTGGCAAGACCTGTACAGAATCATCAATAAAGATGGAGGGATTTATTAGGATCAGACTCAGTTGATGGTCTGTATGGGAAAACCAATTTAGCCTAGCATGTGAAGTCCATACGGATTTTTGAAAAGGAGATTCCAGTGATGAACCATTCTTCAGTCCTTTTCTGAGCCATCAAGACAAAAAACAATAAAGCAAAAAACAAACAAACAAACAAACAAACAAAAAACCAACCAACCAATCAACCAAACAAACAAAAAAACCCCAACAAAACAAAACAAGACAAAAAACAATGTAGGGAATTTTGATTTCCATTTGGAAGTCATTCTGAACACATGGAAACTAGAGGACAGGGAACTAAGCAGGAAAATTGAAGTGTGAACAGCTTCCAGAAGTTTCTCTCATTTCCAGGAAGTAGAAATACAAGAAATAAATGGTGATGTTTATACTTAAGTGTGGCCAATTGATTAAAGAAGAGTGGGACAGAGACGGGAGGTAGTACTGGTTCAATTAGGAACTAAATGTGTCTAAAGGAAGTAGAAATTCACGATTGTCCTGGTAAACACTGGGATTTTGAATGTCTAAAATGAAAGGGATTAATTTTCCATATAACAGGTGTCAGAAGGAGTGTTCTCCAGACCTGGTTGAAATGTAATTCTGGTATAAATATGTAACAATGAATCCCATAATTATATATAATGAAAATGCACCAATACAAAAAGAAGGCATGTAAATTCTGAACCAGAAACTCAGGGGTTGGGGCCCAATGATCTATGCTTTATCAGGCTCTTGTGATGATTTGGATGCATGCTAAGTTTTGCCTTAAAATATTGGGGAATAGGACCTTCCACACCATGTTTTTCACTTATTTGCAGAACCTTGCCTGAATTTACGTATTGAACCTGAAGAAGGTAGCCTTGCAGGGGGAACATGGATCACAGTCATTTTTGATGGTAGGTTTGGGTTTTCTCTTTATTGACCAACAGTCCTAAGGAATATAAGTTCTTGCTTTCTTGTCTAAGGGCAGGTAAAGGAGCTCGTGAAGGAAACAGGTGGATCCACTTCTGTCTTTGCAGATGCTCACTGGCTAATGTCACAGGGGAGCACATCTCACCGTTGCACATTGAAGCTCACTTTCCTGTTCTAGGCTGTGGGATGGGAGGGAACTCTTAAAGAGACTATATGAAAGTGCATATCATAGTCCTTGGCAATGCTTCCCTTGATAATCTAGGTTATCTTCCTCACAGGCAACTGTATCATTGAGAGCTTCTAAACAATGTGCTTAGCATGACTCTTTCTAGCAAAGTACAGAGTAACTTTGTGGGTTGACAATTCTTTTCCAGATTTAGGCAGACCTGAAGAAAGAAGGCTTTTTTAAAAAAATCAGCACATAAATGAGAGAACTACTCCTTTTTATAGCAGACACAAATGCCTTTGGAGATAAGTATTAATTTGCTCCTTAGGCAAACTGGGTATCTTAGATTGCCCCCAAGTGGCCACTTTTCTCATTGCCCTGTGTGGATTGTCACTGCTCAACCTAGATTTACCATTTACCTTGAGTTTAGGTTTGGAGCCAGGTGTCCTTTACCCCACCAATGGCTCTCAGCTGGAGGTACACCTGGTGAACATGGCTGTGCCTGCATTGAGGAGCATCCCCTGTGACGTCTCTCCTGTCTTCTTGAATTTCCCCGTGGTGACATGCCGGACCAGGTATACCTGTCTAGAATAAGAACAGAAAGGTTGAGTGGGTTTTGAAGACATATTACAACAATTCTGCCGTGACCACAATTATCAGCTATAGCTTTCAGAAAAATTCTGTGTGAATATGGTTCTTACATGTTCCTATCAGGGCTCTAGGACTTAAGGGAAGATGAGAGAATGGGGAAGAATTTTGAGATATTTATAAGAGGGACTGGATCATTGTTTCATTTGTTTAGTTTACAAGGAGTTCTATTGCTATAAAGATTTCAACAAATGCGCCATTTTGGACTCTAAAGTACTCATCACTTGGAATAGACATAATTATAATGATTTTGCATAAAAACAGGAAAGAAATTTTGCTTTGGGTTTAGTTGGTTGCTCAGTTTGATATTATTTCTATTTAGGAAATATTTGTACAGAATTCCAGGTAATCTATTGTTCTTCTCAAATTTTTGTTGGCCTATGAAGATTATAGTAGTTCATTCCTTCTTTTTGTATATCTTAGGGGTGCTTCATGAAAAGAATCATTGGCTAAAGGAAAGAACATTGTCATTTCATTTTGTCTTCTGTTCCTTCTGACTCCCATCTTCCATTTTCTTCTATTGAAATTCACCAACCAGAGTATAAATGCCACCTCTTCCCTGGCCATCCAGCTCAGTGTCATCTCTCCCTTCCTTGACAGGAGCCAAAGGATCCCTTTTTAGTGATTCACCTGCAGGATGCACGTGTGCACACACACTCTTTTGTGCAACTCATCATGCTGTACACAAAATCAAAGCATGTGTTGCCTTGTGGCCCTGTTTCCTCTGCCCTGTGCTTCTCATGACACTCAGTTGCCTACATGTCAGATTCATCATCATAGAATTAAGTGATGATTAATGATGGTGCATAAACCCAAACTTCGTCTAGGGGATGTGTTTAATCTCACCATCATCATCTTTGGGTGCCTTGCACAATATTTTATGTGTAGAAAATGCTCATCAGAAGTATGTTGAATGAATTTCTTTATAGCACTAGTAATGATTTATAAATTGAGATCATTTTTCCTTAGATTTTTATGGAGTATCTGATCATAACCTTCCTGCAAGTACTTGCCATGAAAAAGCCAAAGCTTTATATGTCTTTATATGTCCAAAGGTTTATATGTCTGATCTCCTCAATCCCAACATACCAATAATTTTAGGATGCATCATTGATTTTGTGTCACTTTTTTAGAAAATAAATATGCCCCCTTTCTTATACTCATTGATTGGAAAATAAATGTAAAATTCAGTTAATATTCAAGTGTGAAAAATATAATTTGTCATCACTGAAATGCTATTCTATTCAGTATCATGAAATGATATACCTGCTTTCACTGAGCAGTCATTGTAGCATTGAAATCAGTACTGGCCAAACAAAATGTAATGTGGACAAAAATATAATTTAAAAGATTCTAGTAGCCTCATTAAAGTTAAAAGAAACAAACAAAATTAATTTTAATATTTTATTTAGCCTGATATATACAAAATATTATTTCAACATGTGATCTCAATATGTCATTGAGATATTTTCTATCCTTTTTTGTACCCCAGCCACCTTTCAGTGTGTATTTTATACTCATGGTGTATTTTAATCGAGACCGCCCACATTTCAGATGCTCAGTTAAGCATACAAGGCTGGGGGGAATACAATGAAGGTGTATAGCATAGTCCTTGGCAATGGGAGGTTTGGCAAGGAGGAATTTCTTGACTGTAACTTCCTTTTGTTCACTATATTCCCCCTCTTTCAAAAAACCACATAGATGGCAGCCTTGAAGGGGCAAAGAAACCACAATGGTATTTCTGCAAAAAAGGTCCAGGAGTCTCTGTCAGGTTCATGAGATGTTTATGGGCTGCTCCAATGATTGTGAAGCCAAGATTTTTTTTTTTTTTGAGCACAAGTAAGATAAATGCCTTTTATCAGTTTGTCTGGGATTCAAGCCCTACTTTGCCCTGAACATTTGGTGTTTATACACACGTCTCAATCCACATGGGACTGTCAGATTTTTTAAAAAATGGAAACTGGAAATAGATTATCAAAATTCCTACCAACTCTTAAAAACCTATGAACCCATAATTCGAAGAAATAGGACATTTCTTCATTCAATAACTTTCAATAGGAACAAAAAATTATAACTCCTTTTGCTGAAGGATGCAGTGTTTAAGTTATGGTGATTCTGAGTGGACCGGGGATGAAATGTGATATAAAACCATGTTTGCTTAGCTATGTTTCTCAGTGTGGGATGGCGTTTGAAGTGGTTATGTGTGCTGCTTGCTTTGGAAATTCTTGGTTTCTGATTCATAAGAATTTGCACTTTTTGCCCTCAGATCTCTGCCATCCAAAGCTCATGAGGGTCTGTATTCCCTGGAAGTGCGCTCTGGGGGACAGGTAGTGGGCAGCCCAAGTTCAAGACCACAAGACAGCTGTACTTTCAAGGTGGGTTCTAAGGGTAGAAGATATGTGTCTGCTTAGTCTGAAGGTGTACATGTGTTATCAACAAGCAAGTTATAGATCAGCCAGAGTCTGCTTTGACAGAATAAGAAGAAAGGTGAATGGTATTTATGGGGTTTCTAATGAAAGGATAGTATGTCAGCATCCAGCTCTGTACTTTTTGTACACAGTGTAATGCTCATAACAATTTTCGGAGGTGGCCATTTGTTATCTGTTTTTAGAGATGAGCAACCTGAGGCTTAGGAAGTTTAAATAATTTGCTTATATCACCCAGGTAATAAATGGAAGAACCAGGATTTGAACCTGCATCTAAATCTAACTAAATCTGCTCACTTGAAGTTCATAGAAGAGTGGAAAGATTACCTTTGTGAGTTAGAGTTTCATTTTTTTAGCCGAGCTCATGCTGATTGTTAGGATGATGAGGGGACTCAGGAACCCAAGTTCCCTGGTGCAGGAATCCAACTTCTACCCTCTCATTCTCTCTGCTTCATGGCACATTTCTGCTATTCTTCCCAACACTAGAAAGGGATTTGCTTGTGGAATTCTTTGTCATGTTCAGATAGATCAAAAAGGAGGGAGGAAGAGAGGGAGGGGAGAGAAAGAGAGAGAGAGAGAAAGAGAGAGAGAGAGAGAGAGAGAGAGAGAGAGAGAGAGAGAGAGAGAGATTTTATGAGGCCGGTGTCTGACTTATTGTTGAGCCTTGATGTGTATGCAGGGCCTTAATTCTTTGTTTGGATCAGTCTAAGGCTCATTTCAGATGAGTTATACTGACATGTTAATACTATCTCGAAGGTGAGGCCCTAGTCTTTTCATAAAAAAAGCAGAGCTTTGGGAGTGCTGCTAATGGCAAAGAGTGCCTCAGTGTTATAAAGAAGGCAATTTAGTGGTTCACCTGTGCTCTTTTAGAACTTTACCCTTTGGATTCATCTCTAATATAATACATATGAAATTTAGGCAATTTATTTTGAAATTTGGAACACACTCTCCATTGACACTCATCAATTTCTTTCCCAGTTTAATAGAAATCTTGTTTTCTGAAATTTTGCTTTTGCACATATGCAGTGGACAGAAAAAAATTTTTCACCATTCTTTCTTATTAAGAGCAGCATTACCACTTCTGCACCGTCTCAGGAAATTCAGCAGAAGAGAGCCGGTCAAGATGCTCCTTATTCTCCATGTTCCTTTTTATCCCAGATAGTAGTTTTTCTACTTATTAAAAGAGCATCAAGGAGAGAGGGCAGGGGGTGGGGAGAAGAAAAACACTTCCTAAAATTGTACATTAAAGAAAACAAGTCTGTCAGTGATTCAACTAGCATGGTGAGTTGATGAAAAATCACCAGGGGATGCAGTTAATGAGAGGCGTTCCAAGCTCAGTAAAATTCAGTGTGTCTCTTTGCTTTGGGACCAGGACTAGGGGAACCATGCACATTAAAAATTAATTCTGTCTTGCCAGTCCACTCCAAAGAGCCTGCTGCGGGCATTGACAAGTTCGAACAACTCACAAAAGGTTTATTAGGCAGCTGGTGGCTGTGGCTTTATCATTCTAATCTGTGCCCCCCCCCCCCCCCCACACACACACCACCACCCAGTCTTGCCATTGCTGACCTCACTTGGGCTCAAGGATCAGCATGTGGGAAGCTTGATTTGGAAGCTCATTAATTTTTCACTGTCATGTCTCTAGCCTGGTGGGTGACCAGGGGCCACTTTCTCTTAGAAATATACCATTTTATGTTGTGCCAGTTCAGAGAGAATCAGAAGTGAATTTTTTTTTTTTTTTTTTGGTTTAACCCTGAGCACTCTCCATCACTCTCAGGGGAGTTAGGAGGGAACAATAAAGGAGTCACTGCATTCCCCACAGACTTTGGTTGAAGGATCACAGACTGAGTGGGTCTTAGATTTCCCAGTGGAAACTGACAGGCATACTTCCTTATTTGGTTTGAACTCAGTGGTTCCCCTGTCTCCATTTCTAACACGTGCAAGATGGGACAGTACCCACTGCTGTGCTTTATTCAGGAGGTTCTTATGATAAAGTTCCAATTGAAATAACTTTGGTTAAAGGCCATCCTGATGGCAGACGAAGGCCTGGCTGCAGCTCTTGGCTGGAAGGCTGGGATAGGGATTGAATGTTTGGCAGGTGTGTGCAGAACGGTGTTCATTTTTATCTTTTGGTACCACCATAGGCATCTCCTAAACTGTGAAGTCACAGCATTCTTATTTTGACCTCCTGACTGTACATATTTTCTGTGAACCCTTTTCTAACCTTTTTCTTTACAGAATGAGGAAAATAACCTTGATGGAAGATTGTATATCTGTACAGATCAATACACAAACCCACACTTGACAGGCACCATCAGCTTTGTTGAAATGTCTGTTGATTCTTAATGTCTGTTTAGGGCTGTTGATTAACTATTGAGGGATTCTTTGGTGATGTTCTTCTGGGAAGGCAAACTCCTGCCATGCTGGAAGCAGACCAAACAGAAGGATTTGCTGTGGTTTGTTTTGCAAATGGGAAACCTTGTAGGTTGTATGGAATGGAGGCAGTTTAGGAGACTAGGGAAGGTGGGAGTGACTAAGTCTCTCCCTGAGTGAGGCATTAGCTCATGATCAAACCTTGATCTAGTCAGTCCATCTTTTGTGCTTCTCCATTTCTTCACACTGGGCTTGTCATGATTTCCTGAAGGAGTATTTCACTAATCTTAGACGAATCCAGATGATCATAGGTGAGATGGAATTCCTGAAATTCTCCCACCCCCCAGCTTTTCTTCCCAGCAGTGTATTAGTCATTCCAGATCCAAGTTCACAAAAATTTGAACATCTTTTTCATACCAGCCTATGCATGGTGGATGCAGTAGCAACTGAATCAAGCATCATCCTTTAAATATGGAGCTTGTGATCAACAGATGATGTGCTTCATGAGGCGGAGGCATTGAAAGTTGATTTGGAATACTGTGACCAGGCTTTGGCAGGCTCCCATGTCTCCAATCAATACCATTTTCCTCCTTGTTGAAGAACAATATTGTTTTCCCTTCCTTGAGTGTTTTGAGTCATTTTCCTTCCAACAGATATCTTCCATTTCTCCAATGAGCACCTCACTCATGTATTTCTAATTTCTCATTTTTTTTTTTGTTGCTTGCTGATCCTTCCCAGGATGCTGGCTGAGAGTAATTTGTCATGATACTTACATTTAAACAAAAAAATTATTTTCTAGAAAAACAAACACCTTCAAGACTTGAAGACATCAGATTATAATAATGGATTTTAAAGATAGACATTTCTGTGTGATGGCTTGTCTACCTTTCCTTCTAGTAAAATGTGTGCTTAGGTTGGGTATGGTAGGTGAGCAGGTAGAGAAATAGGTTTACCAAAATTTGGACAGTATGGGGCAGGACATGCATGTATGACATGATCAAATTCCCTTTACTTCATCTGTAGAAGAAATGTAATAATTTCTGTCATCTCTGCCTCATGGAAATGTAGGGATGAAGGTGATTTGAGGCAAAGTATCCATTCCCTATTTTAGACTAATGCTTTATGAGAAATGGCTTGTATCTCTGATGTTCATGGATATTTAACTTGGATATTGATATAAAATGTGATGATATTTTTTAAAACAGTTTTCCAAGGCACAGACACCGATTGTTTACCAAGTTAATCCACCAAGTGGAGTTCCAGGTAAGAAATCTTCTATTAACATGGGAATAATTGGGAATCCCTTTTCCAAAGTTTGTTGCTAACTTTTGCCTAGGTGGATGGTCTCTGTAATTGGGAAAAAATAACTTCTTCTCTGTTATTGTTTTGAAAATAAGTCTTGTTCTCTGGTTCATTTTCAACCTGGTTTGGTTTCACCTCTGGGCACTTTTGTTCTATTACTTCACTGATAAGAAAGTCAAACATGATAAGAAAAAGAAGCCAGCAAAATCAAACCAGTTGATGCTGGAGAATGGAGGAAAAAGAAATAACTATTGCTCTTAACTTTATAATCATCCAAGTAAGAACAAACCCTAACCAAACCCTTACTGTGCTCCAAATTCCATTCTAAGCTCTTCATATATATTATCTTACTAGACTTTTGCAGGAACCTGATGATATAGGAGAGGAGCTATTATTATTTTCATTTTGAGATGAGGAAAGGAGGTAGCAGGAGGTTATATAAATTGACCAAAGTCATAGAGCTAATCCATGACACAGCTGAGATTGGAATCCAGAGAGGCCCATGGATCCATCATTTTTCCTTATGTTTCATTGTGCTGGATACCATTTGGAAGGCCATGAGCCCTGGTCTTTCTCTAGGGATTTGTTTACAAGTTAGAGAATATATAAAGCAGACACATAATGATTAGGAGGACAGAAGAGAAGGAGATTGTGTAAAGATGGGGGGATTTATATAAAAGGAGATGGGATTACAACTGAGAAATGGATTCAGGAATTGCTAAGTCTGTCTTAAAACTAAGTAGTAAACATGACTAATAAGACACTTTGCTGTCTTATTCTTGGCAAATTTCTCTCTATATTTCAGGCTTTCCAATTTTTCAGTGTTTCCAGAATTGTATAAGTGTGACAATATAAGTTGCTCCATTTTTTATATATTGTTGTGTCTAAATGCATAAATAGATCTAATTGTTTTGATTGACTTGGCTGGCCAAGAATGTCAGAATGAATATCTAAGTTATGGAAAAGTATTTGTGCATTTTTTGTGTTTTTGTGTGTGTGCATGTGTGTATAGACACAGATTATATGTGTATTTAAATTACATTTCAAATAACATGAATTCAGCATTATCTCACTCCTGGGCTTTTCACAGATCTGTTCCATTCCATTAATCTGAGCAACCAAGATGTGATATGTTTTATTAAAGAGATGAGATCTGTGAAAATCCCATGCATATGTTTGGGTTCCTGCTGCTCCAGTGTTAGAAAGCTCCTGTTTAGATGGCAGAAGTCTTGTTAAGGTGAAGGATGAGGAAGGAGCCAGCCCTGAGAGGTGTGAAATGGGATGTCAGTTGGCACTCAGATCTGTCAAGTCCATTTCTACCACTGAGGTGGAGTTCTGCACACTGGGTCCTCCACTTTCTGGGGGAACCACTGGTGGTTGGCCAGGCTGGAGTGGTCCCTCCAGGCAGCATCCACACGGCTGCAGCTTTGCAATCACTTTCCAGGCGATTAGTCTCATTTCATTTGGGAAGCCTGCCCAGAGTAGCAGCTAGGGAGACGGGGGGGGGGGGGGGGGGGGGG